AGGGAAAAAAAGAAAATGAAGAAGAGACAAAGAAATCAGCAAAGCCAATCAAAATACCTCAAAAAGCTCTGAAAATATATGAAATGTACCAGACCCATATGCATCCCACCTCTGCAAAGGAGTGATGTGGATTTGTCTTCTCTTCTTTCTTCTTTAAAGCTATGCTTGTTCTTTGTAATTTGGCCACATTCACTTCTGATTGCTTTATGGTTGTATTTTCCTTTTACTACATTGTTGTAGTCACTGTGTATAAATTGTTTTCTTGGTTTTGTTTACTTTACTCTGCATCAGACTGCATAAATCATTCCATGCTTCTCTGTATTTATCACATCCATCATTTCTTGCAGCACAGTAATGTAATATTACTTCCACAATTTGTTTAACCATTTCGTAATCCATGGGTACCGATTTTGTTTCCAATATTTTGCTACCACAAAAAAATGTTGCTATAAATATTTTGGTGTATGTGGGGTATATCTCCTTAGGGTATAAGCACAGTAGTAGAATCTCTAGTCAAATGATATAGACATTTTAGCTACTTTATTTACATAATTCCAAACTGCTTTCCAAAATGATTTTACTGATTCATAGCTCCAATAACAATGCACCAGAGTACCTCTCTTCCCATAACTCCTCTACTATTGACTGTTCCCATCTTTTGTCATCTCTGCCAATTTACAAGTTGTGAGGTGAAACTTCGGTCACCCATGCATTCTTAAAGCATTTCTCTTGTCTATGCTATGTATAGCATACTTACTTCAAGTCACTGTATAGAAGTGTATATCTATTCTCATATAACCATTCCTCCAATTATGCAGCTACAAGTATTGTTGCTTCAGTGATGGTAGACTTGCTCTGTTCTAGGGCAACTTACTGTTGATAATTAATTCCTGTTACTAATTATTAGTTATGCTTTACAGGTAATAGAAATGATATGCTCAAGAGGTCGGATGTGATATTCATACCCTACTTAAGTCAAATCATTATTAATACTGGCCTGTAAAGCAATTTGATGTGGGCCCTGAGTTTGAGGCATTCTAATCTTATATCCTCAACCATTTTCATCCATTTCACCAAATACCACAAATACAACTTCCCAAACATTCAAATCTACTTTGATCACTCCTACCCCTTTTCTTGCCCACTCCAAACCAATTCACCAAGATAGCTAACCAGTCTATAAGCATTTATCAAGCACCTATACTATGTTGCAGGCACTATGCTAATCACTGGGGATACAAAGAAAAGTAAAGGACAGCCCCTATCTTCAAGGAGTTCACAATCTAATGGGGGAGACAACATGAAAACAACTAGATACAATCAAGAAAAATACAGGTAAATTGGGAGATGATCAGCAGGGGAACTGGTATTAAGGGGGATCAGGAAAGCCTTCTTGCAGAAGGCAAAATTTTAGCTGGGACTTGAAGGAAGCTGGGAGGCAGATATGAGAGGGCAGAGAATTCCAGACATGGAGATAACCAGTGAAAATGAGAAGAATATGGAGATGAAATGTCTTGTATGAAGTAAGCAAGAAGGCAGCTTTCACTGGTTGCAGATTACATGGAGGGGAGTAAGGTGTAGGAAGAATGGAAAGGTAGGAAGGGGGCCAGGTTACGAGGGTTACGAAGACCAAACAGAATTTTATGTTGGATCCTGAAGGTGACAGGGAGTCAGTGCAACTTTTTATTTTGGTGGGGGAGAGGAGAGGTGTGTGTGACATGGTTAGACCTGAGCTTTAGGGAGAATGATTTGAAAGCTTAGTGGAGGACGAACTTGAAGTGGAGAGAGATTTGCGGCAGGGAGACCATTCAATTGACTATTATAATAGTCCAGGCATGAGGTGTTGAGGGTGGTGGTAATGTTAGAGAAGAGAAAAGGGGGAATACAAGAGATGTGAGGAAGATAAAATTGACATGCCTTAGCAATAGTTTGGATGGAGGTGGGGTGGGGAGGGAAAGGTGAGAGAGAATAAGGAGTCAAGGATGACACTTAGGTTGTGACCTGGGTGACTGGGAAGGTGGTGATGTCCTGGACAGTAAAAAGACAGTTTGGAAAAGGAAATGGTTTGGAGAGAAAGATAATGAGTTCAATAAATCATGTTGAATTTAAGATGCCTGTAGGATATCCAATTTGCTTTGTCCAACAGAGAACTGGAGATTCAAGTCTGGAGGTTAAGAGGAAGGTTAAGGCTGGATAAGCAGCTCCGGGAATCATTGAGAAAGATGATAACTGGATCCATGGGAGCTGGTGACATGACCAAGTAAAACAGTCTAAAGGGAGAAAAGCCTTATATCCTTATACTAGCTTTTATACTTTTCTTTTAGATCCTTCATTCTATTCTTAATCATAATCATCTTAGGAAATTGTCACATCCTCAAACTTCTTAAACAATATTCCTTTGACCTTAATTTAATTGAAACCTGTCCTCTTACTCTCTTCTAAGTTCTCTGCAACCTGGCTTCTGGCTTCTTCAAATGAAATAGCCCTCTCCAGAGGTACCAATGATCTCTAGTTGGCCAAAGCTTTTTCTTTTTCTCAATCCTCACCTTTCTTTTCCCCTCTGCAGCATTCAACAGAAATGATAGCTTTTTCCTCCTGGACATTCTTTCCTTTCTAGTTTTTGTGACACTCTATGATTCTATATGTCCAACTGAGACTTCTTAGTCTTCTTTGCTGCTGCTTCATCCATAGCACAACCACAGGCTATGGGTGTCCCTCATGATTCGGTCCTGGGACTGCCTCTCATTTTGCAAGAAGCAAAATATACTATACTATACTTTCTCTCTTGGTGATCTCATTGGCTCCCATGGATTCAATTATCATCTTTGTGCTGATGATTCCCAGATCTATATATGCAGGGAGCTAGGTTGTACAGTGGATAGAGAGCTGGGTCTGGAGTCAAGAAGACCTGAGTTCAAATCCAGCCTCAGACATTTATGAGCTATGTGATCCTGGCAGACCTCTGTCTGCCTCAATTTCCTCATCTATAAATCAAGGATAATAATAGAGTCTATCTCTTGAAGTTGTGAAGTGCTTAGCAAAGTGCCTGGAATACAGTAGGTGCTTGATAAATGCTTATTGCCTTGTCTCCCTCCCTCCTGAGCATACATCATCAGCTACCTTTAGATGTCCTGTAGGCATCTAAAACTCAACACGTCCCAAATAGAATTCATTATTTTTCTCCCCACTCTTCCTCTGAACTTTACTATTGCCATGAAGGATACCAACATCCTTCTAGTAACTTAGGCCTGCACCTTCAGTGTTATTCTTGACTCCTCATTTTCACTTGCCCCACATATACAAATAGTTGTCAAATACTGTCATTTCCACCTTCACAACACCTCTCATATACATCTCAACTCATACTGCCAGCACTGCAGTTCAGGTCCTCATCATCTTTCCCGAACTATTGTAGCAATCTAATACTTAGTCTCTGTCTCACCTCTTTCACCTATTCCAATGCATCCTTCCTACATCTATAAAAATGATTTTACTAGCACAGGTGTGACCATGTGACCTTTCTGTTCAGTGAGCTCCGGTGGTTCTCTGTTACCTCTAATATTTTCACAACAAGGCTCCTTCCTACATTTCTAGTCCTTCACTCCCCTACATGCACCTATGATCTAGCCACTTGCAATTCCTCAAAGATGCTGCTGCATCTTCCATCTCTGTGTCATCGTACTGGCTGTCCTACATGTTTAAAATACTCTGTTCCATCACCTCTACCTCTTGGTTTTTTGAGCTTCCTTCAAGACTCAGCTCAAGTCTTGATCTGAAGGCAAGAAGCCTTTCCCATGTATGTACCTGTGTCTCCCCCATTAGAATGCATGCTCCTTGAGGGCAAGGTCTGTTTCTTCACCTTTCTTTATATCAACTCTTAGTAAAGTTCCTGACACATAGTAAGAACTTAATAAATGCCTGTTGACTGATTATTAACCCTTTTTCCTCTTTTAGGATAGATCACAGATCAGTTGGGAACCTATTTTTTCCTAGAATACAACTATTCAACAACAAAAGATATGTACAGAGAAACAGAAAGCCATGGACTTATGGCCTTTAAGGCCACACATTTGTAACTGTCATCAGGCTTTACAAATTGTTTGCATTTCCTCCAGAAACTATAATTTTCAGGCCATACAAACACCAAAGAAACTAATTACAGCATACAACTAGATTAACATTACTATGGGAGCAAAACATTATTATCAGGCTTTTGACTAGACAAAGGTAATGGCATTTTTTACTTTAATCAGGCCTCAAGGGTACATCCTAATGAACAATTTGAGCAAATCTGTGTTACTCACTTAAGTTTCTGTCCTGTTCTTTGCATGTGAACATATGCCATCATTCTATTTATAGCAGAACATGTGCCTTGAATAATTTTTCCAACACTTGTAACAGATTTGCATTAAACTACTCACATTTACCCATTTCTCTTTCTTATCAACAAAATCCATCTGTAAGGTAGCTGGTCAGGGGTGCAATCTGTGACCAAGTACAACCCAAGCCTTATAGGAAGTGAACTCCTGACCTCATTAACGCCATCCTTTAAGCAACTGAAGCAGACTGGCCACAGACAGAACGTAGCCCAAAATCTTCACTGACTATCCCGCAACATAGGTATAAACAATATGCAACTCTCAGGTCCTTGGCAGGTGTATAACACAGGGGAAAGTGCCCCCAAATGAACCAAATGATTTGCACTTAAGCATACTGTCATGTCTGTATAACTCATCTAGAACAGCATGCACAATACAATCCGTATTATAATAAATTACAAACCCAGAAGCGTGATGAAATATTTCCAGTAGGAAGGGGAAAAAACCCCCATTACTAATAGATTAGACAGCTCAATACACTACATTCCCCCAAAGGCACTGAAAGAGATTTACATGACACCATGCTCACCAACCAATACCATCAAAGTTACAATGCCTAGATACTGAGGTCAAAACAGAAAGAACAAAGACAGTCCACGAACAAGGAAAACAAATGCTTACCTGGTAATCAGGTTTGGTAAAATAATCTAAAGAGGAGATATGGTCCAGAAAGATGCTGAATTCTGTAGGGAGATGTTTCAACATAAGTCTGTGCTCATATCTCTCCTTAATAGAACCCACTTGCTCCTAGGGAAATGATAAAAGAAGAAACCAAAGTAAATTTCTCGAATCAATTACACACTCAGAGCCTCTCTCTTGATATTCTCAAGGGTGTATACTAAGGATTAAGAACATACGTAGATAGTTAAGGGCAAAGTAAGACTAGGGATCTTAACAACATTAATGTACTCTGCTTTTTAAAAAAATTACAAGGCAGAACCAAAAGGTTGAACTTTTTTTCATGTCTTGTACATACAACAATGTTGCCTGCACCACTAAATACAGAGTTCTGCACCAGGTGAAGTTATAGCTTTCAAGAAGAAAGAATAGAAATCACCTCAAATCTGGCCTGATTTCCTCTATCAACATAGAAAGAAGTTTCTATGCTTTCACGGCTCTCATTTCAAACAATATCATAATCTAATAATACAAACTAGCTGTTTAGAAATCAAACAACAGAGAAGGACAGCAAATATAGATGCTACTGGTTCAGAGTGAAAGCTAGAAATCAACCCAGATGAATTAGTTGCATATAAAGTGATATTTGTTCTACATACAATCATTTTAAAAATCGCAATTTGAACCCCAATATCAACTCATCATAGAGGGACAATATTGGAAAATAGTGAAACTCTCCCCAGTTTTTAATGAATTGAGGCTATTTTTCAGGAAGATGCTTACCTGGGAGAAAATCACCTCTTTCCACCCAACAATCAACATAACAATTTCTAAATTCACCTTGTCTTTTATTTTTCTCCAAGGCAGTTGTCCAACTACGAACTCTACCAACATGTAGAACAAAGACCAAAGATCATCGTGTCTTCCCATTTCCTAAGTAAAACAAAGTAGGGTTTCATCACATGGAGATACTGCGAATCTTTATGACTAGACTGCATAGCCTAAGGGACTAAGATACCTGTTGAATCTCACTAAACCTTTTTTTGGGTGATGGTGAGAGGGGGCCAGATGTATGATTATATTACTATAGGGAGTTCTTAGGTTGGAAACTCCTTCCTCTTACAGATCAATGATTTACCTATGACTAGACTGTAAGTTTCTTGAAGGCAGAAACTGTTTTTTGCCTTTCTTCATATTGCCAGTGCTTTCTTTGTATCACCTGGCATGCATCAGGCATTTAATGAAGGTTTGTTGACTTGCCCACAGTCACCCTGCTCGTCTGTGTCAGAAGCAGAAGTTAAACCTGTCTCTGGAGTCAGCCTTCTAGTCACAACACCAGCCAACTCTCAGACTTCAATTAAATTCCTCACAAAATTGGGTGAAAAACATCCCCAAGTATTATCAGGAACAGTTTCCAAGTTCAGAAAAATACCCGTCTTAAAAACCATCAAAAACAAACGCCACACTTTGAGACAGAAGCAGATCTTCAGTCTTGGTGAACCATCTTCCGTTTCACTAGTGGAGTTACAACTTCCTCTGCCTAAGACTTTTAGAGGAAATCTTTACTTTTTTAATAAAATAACCCCAGACACTTCTGACAGCTTTTCTATTGGCTATCTTCAAAATACTGATGTGGCTACTTATAGACCCAGAAAAATTCTATCTTTATTCTCAAAAGAATACTTCATTTTAAAGACTACAATGTCAACATCATTCTGGGTGAGCTAACTGAGAAAAACTAACATTTCAAATAATTAACAAAAACATATCCCGAGGATAAAAAATATTTCCCAAAAAACAACTGCTTGAAAACAAGAAAAAGAGGTATCAATCACACTGGTATACAAACTGAATTAGTTAGTGTCTAATACAATGCCAGACACATAGTAAGTGTATAATAAATACCTCACCGATTTGACAATTTAATATTACTTAAATCAGTATTATATAGAAGCATATTATTCAGAGAATAATCTATAAGATCAAACATAATTCTAACATATATATATATAATATATACACACACACCTATGGGTGCATATACATATATATTTATTTAGCATTGTTCAGGTTCTCATTTAATGCACCTTATCCAATCTGGGGTTTTACATAAAAAAATGGGATCAGGGGTTCAAAAAAAGGGTACTCCTTCATGCCTCCCCCAAAAAAGTTGTTAATATATTTCTCATCCCCATCATCCTATTCCCATCGAAACAAGGCGTAAGGCCAGGAATCCCATGAGGTACTCTCCTTTCCTAAGTTACAATGCAAACTTTAGATGCAGAAAACTCAGTGTAAGTAAAAAAAGCATAAAAATGAAAGGCTAAAGAAAAAAACACAAGGAAAGGGATGATTTAATGTAATGAAAGCCAAGAAGGGATGGGAACTGCACATTCACAGCATTTTGTGGATGTGTGGGGAAAAGGAATGGTTTGGGGGCATGCTGCAAATATAGTCATATAAAAGATAAAATATGCTCCATCAGGCATCAATAATTTTAGGGACTCACGAGTAACCTTTTTTTTTTTTTTTGCTTTTTTAATGAGGCAATCAGGGTTAAGTGACTTGCCCAGGGTCACACAGCTAGTAAGTGTCATGCGTCTGGGACCGGATTTAAACTCAGGTCCTCCTCACTCCAAGGCCGGAGCTCTATCTACTGCGCCACCTAGCTGCCCCACTCATGAGTAACTTCTTGACAAAGAGCATTGATTAATGTTTTATTTTCCTCACAATCTCATAAATTGATGCGTAAATGTAAGAGGTAGCACGGAATAATGAATAAAGAAAGAACTTCAGAGTCAGGAAGACTTGGGTTCAAGTCTCTTCTCTGAGCAAGTTTTGGTGCCAAGGTGCACCTTTCAGTGCCATAGGCACTGTTAAGACTATAAACTGCAGAGCACTTGCATAGATCGGTTTTGGTAAAATTCTTCTCTAGTGGCTTCCTACTCAGATGAAATCAGAGGTTAGAATAAAGTATATAGATATACAGGTATAGATCATGCATGCAAAGGAAGGCATGAGCTATATTACAAACGTGTGGTTAGATAATCCTTAGCTATTACCTTTTTTATTGGCTAATCCAATTTCATTCCTACTACCTTATCATGCAGCTGCATATGTCCAATATCCTAGCATACACATCACTAAAGAATATAATTAAACTCCTCTGCAATCAATACCACCATAAGAACTGCTAAATTAGGACAAATTATTCAATCAATTCCAAAGCTATAAAGATCTGTCCTTACTCAAGTACTTCCCAGACAAAGAGGCAAAAGAAATGGGATGAAAGAAACTTATGTGCATATGAGGCAGAACAGGCAATATTTTACATTATCAAGAATGATCTGATTGATATGCTTGAAATTCAGACACTTACTCTGTTTCGATGAGCATTGATTGATGCATACCGGACTGTTCCTCGAAATCCTGCCACAGCTCGAGGCTGGAACATAAACAACAGAAGAATATAGGCATTGCAAACTGTGAAGATTTGGTTCTGGTGTGATTGTGGAGCTAATGCACTGAAAATGTGAGGCATAATCTTCAGAAGGCACTTACTAAAGGTCTTCATGTTCATGGAACAACATTCTATACAGCAGATTACAGCACATGTGATAATAGCTTGGCTTCATTTATAACCGAGACTAGAGCCAGGATGATGCATCCAAGGTACCACCTCAACTCTAGTGTCTCCTTTATTCCATCTTCAATAGCACTGGTGACTATGTCAGTCAGACAGACACAAAAACCTCATTTTGCAGTGGAGTCAAGATGGTATATTTGAGGCCTAGTTTAATTCTAGGCAATTGTCTGCTGGCTCATCTCATAATCAAGTCAGCACCCCAATATATGAAGTGCCAAACAAAAAAATGCTCAGTGAATGTTAACCTATTCACACTTTAGAGCAGAAGTTCTTCACCTGGATTCATGGGCCAAAAAGAGGTCCATGAACTCAGACAGGAGAAAAATTCATCTTCATTTTCACTAACTTAAACTGAAATTTAGCATTTCCTTCAATTATGAATTTTTAAAAAAAATTCTGAAAAGGGGTTCATAGGCTTCACCTGCCTGTCAGAGGCACTCATATCTCATAAAAGAAATCTTAAGAAACCCTGTTGTGGAGGCTGGTGACTAGCATAAGTATCTAAACAGAAATTCAGGCCATGAGCAAAATCTAGCACCTTTGTTCTTTTTATGAAACTTATGACCATCCATGCAGCAGAAAGTATCTTAGAAATCCAACCCAAGACCACCTTCCTTAGCAATGACTAGGCCATTTTAGAGAAAGAACACCCTGGGAAGACTCATGTATATATTAGTTACTATTCTGTATGCCTATGTAGTTTTAATTATCACTGTCTTTTGCTTTCATCCCTAAAACCACCCAAGGCATCTCCCCAATTAAAATTTCACAGAAAAACATCCATGTGAGCTCAAATGAACTATCAGCACCTTGAATCACAGATAATATCTTTCTCTTCTGCTTCCTGGCTTCCTCCAAGATTCAGCTCAACTCTCACCTCTTCAGGGCTTTTCCCTTCACCATGTCCCTCAACTGCCCAGGGCCATACATCTGAAGTTATCTTCCATAACACAGTCCATACCTTATAATCTTGTACGTACATAATTTCTTGCTTATTGTCTCTCCCTTTAGAATGTGAGCTCTTTGTGGGCTGGGACCATGTTTATGCCTTTCTTTATAACCCTAGTGCTTAGCATAGCGCCTGGCATACAGGAAATGCTTAACATGCTTGTTGACTGATCATCCCCTTTGTTAGCAGACCACTAGTATATAAAGAAGGTTTGGAGGAAACATTCCAATCATATCCCTCGCATCCCTTTTCATTAAAATGCTAAAAAATTCCAAAGCCTAGATCAGGCAAACTAACATTAACAGATGATAACCTTTCTTTCCCATCCTGGAACCCCCTCTCCCAAACTGAGGTAGAATCTCTAATACAGATCAGAGATAGAATTTTTCCTGTAATGACAAAGTTTTTGAAAGGCAGAAGCCATCTTTGTAGCCACTACTACTATCCCTCTCGTCACCCTAACATCAATACGATTTGGAGAGCTACGGTATTCCCCTCTCATGGATCCTTAGGGCCTCAGCTGGCTGTACCAAATATTCTTTAACCAATCTTGCATGGAGCTTTCTACTTCCTCCTCTAGTGTGGATAATAGATTACCAAGTAACAATTTATTTGGAAAGGCCTCAGCTACAAAATGTAGGAACTGAAATGGGGAGGCAAAATTGACCAAGTCTCATTTTAGATCTTCTAGAACTTGCACAGAGAACCTTCATGCAAATTGGGGTAGGAATTGGCCCTAATTTAAGTAGTTACAACCTGTACTCCTCTCATACCATTCCTCTTCTTCCTAGTAGAAGTACAAATAGCACCTGTAGTAGGTAAGAATGTCATCAGCTCCAGGCATGTGCCACCCAAGACTGGCACAACACTATCTGGTCTCTTCAGTTCTGGTTTACACAGTGAACTTGTACAGAAAGAATAATATATAAGCAGTTATCCATATTTAGAAGAGTAATGAATCCTTTGTATCTTTTACCAAGGTTGCACAATTTGGTAACATGTAATGTGTCCTAGATTTTTGTGAAATCCAAATATTTGTGGCATTATGCTTTTTTGAGGGTTTCTAAGACCTGTGACTTCATTGGCAAAGGGAACTCCCAGTGAAAATTTCTACCAATGCAGACAGAAGCTGTTTTACAATTTAGACTCTCAGAGCATTGCCTGGGACGCTGAAAGATTAAGTGATTTTCCCAGTGCTATATATAGCCTGTATGTATGCCAGAAGTGAGACCTAATCAAGATCTTCTTGACACTGAGGCTACCACTCTACTGACGTCCTGCTACCTAACTTAGGATTACTATCAGAATCTACTCGTATGATCCAATGCAGATGAAAGAGAACAGAACCAATCAAACAACATACATTTATTAAATACCTGGTACATGCTAAGCACTGTGTTAGGTTCTAAGGATACAAATATAACCAAGAAAATAATGATTACAATCATGTAACCAACTACCCCCTACTAAAATGCTGCTGAACTCATATTAATTGCCATAACAAATCTTAGTCCTGGAGAAAAGAAAAGGAAACATACTTCCCAATTCTCAATAAAAAGGTGAGAGACCACAGGTACAGAATGTTTCACATACTGCCAGACACAGCAATTGTGTTGGTTGGTTTTTGCTAATATATTTCTTCATTATAAGGGAATATTCATGCCTGGGGGATATTGAGAAATGATTGATATTTTTAAAAAAGACATAAATAAAAGATGTTAAACTGACTTTTAATGTTGAAGTAAGAATAAGTGGTTAAGGGGACCAATTGACCACTTCTCTGTTGGTAAAGAACACACAGATTCTCTCAGTCTGAATATAGAGTTAAAACACTGATCATGTAAAGTATACACTACAGCAGAGTAGTCGGTAAAAAAGAACTCAGTGAGTGGGACCATCTTTTCACTACTCTGCTCTTGGGAAAAAGAAAATAGCTTAGAGCCCCCACCCTGCCATGCCATCCTTGAAGCCTGAAGACAGATGAGCTCTACAATCAGTTTTCTTTTCCTCATCTCCTGATAAATATAGCTGCTATTTAATGTGATAATTAGGAGTGGGAATTCAGAATTTTAACCCCTGAAAACTGAACAAATGGAAGGCAAATAGCAAATAGATTGCATCTGTCAATCTGATGGGGGGCAGAAAGACAGAAGGTGTAAACTTAAAATGGTGAAGTGAAATGTTTGAAGAGAGCCAAGTTCATCAAGTAAATTCTCAAAAAAAAACACAAAACAACCCAACCCAACAAAATAAGAGGGAAGAGAAAAAAAACAACAAAAAATACACAAGACAATATGCAAAAAAATAAAAAATTGACCAAAATAGAAAATAAGCAAGGCAGAGAAGAGTACTCAATATATGAGTAATGATAATAACAATACCATAGAGTAATTGAAACAGTTAAGTACTAGTACCAATGAAGATATGAAAAAGAACACCACAAGATCTTTTGAATTTTATATGTTATACCAAACACAAAACCAAATAAGATGTATATTTCGCTTCACAAAAAAGAACAGAAAGAGAATTACGTATTCAGCTACAAATCTGCACTACCACATATAGCTCACTTCTCTGCCATACAACAAATTCACCATTGTTATTTTCAAAGCAGTTCTGCTTTGTCCATTTCCAACTGACCTTTTTCCTGTTCTGCTTTAATAACCCTCTTTTCTTGCTTTTCTTCCCTCCCCCCCCCCATTTTGGTAGCCCTATCAATAATTCCCTTCTGATAACTTCCCAAAACGGAAAGAAAAAGACAAAATCCTGGTATTAAATGTCATTATCAAAGAAAACAAATCTCTACATTGGGCCAACAATATACATCTCATTCTGCACCTCACTCCCTAACCTCAACATCAGTCAGTTTGATCACTCATCCTCTTGAATTGTGGTGGGTCATTACACTAATCAGAATTGTCTTTCTTAGTAGTAATTATTTTTTACAATGTTGCTGTTAACTACATAAATTATTCTTTTGATTCTGCTCACTTCCTTCTCCATCAGTTCATGTAAGTCTTTCCAGGTTTGATACCATCCCTTGCACTATTTCTTATAACATAATGACACTGCACTACATGCTTACACCATAATTTGTTTAGCTGTTCCCAACTGGTGGGCACCTCCCTTAGTTTCCAATCAACACAAGGTATCTTGAGAAACATTGTCAAATGACAAAATAATACATTTAAAGAAATTAAGCAGTAATTAACCTAATTAGTTTCTAGCAAACCTAGCAATTTTCCTTAAAGTTCTTTTGGTAAGTTTATTTAAGTGGTAATAAGGACAAAAAAACCCCTACACTCCCTTCTAAAGAATTAAATAATAATTTTTAAAACAATGAGGATAGTAAGTCATACAACAAATTGAGGCTTACAGTGTTTTCCTCACAACTCTATATTAGTAGTGAGTATTCTTGTTATATATCAAGTATTTCTTGATATAATAAAAAGGTATGCATTAAAAACTACCTGAGATTATGTAAAATGGAGAAGTAGTAATTGGATTTTCACTAAAAATAGGCAAGAAAAATCCCAAGGCTGCCTCATTCTCACACTCCTAATTTACATAATCTTGAAAATTCAATAATAGAAATAAGGCATGAAAAAGAAATTAGGAGTAACAGTGATTAAGAAATTCAATTCAGTCAAACACATATTTATGAAGCACTTATTATGTTCAAGGCTGATATAAAAACGCTAGAGATACAACAAAAAAAAAAACGGAAACATTCAGCACAGATAGGTAAATACAATGTATAGACAAAAAAAGGAAAGAAACATAATGGATGGAATACTAACTTTTGGGTCAAGACAACCTGGATTCATGTTCTACCTCTGACATATACTGT